TTCACTTATTTGTTTCTGTTAAATTAGCCTCTATGATTCTTTTGCCAACCTGACACAAAGCTGACAATTTTATGGACTTATTTACATATATAATATGATAAAATGCACCACTTACAAATTAATACAAGGAATCTGACCCTAAAAGGTGCATTACAACATTCTTCCTGCTTATCCTTTGTTCCTTCTTGCGGTGAAAACACGGCCACCACCAAGTGTTGAGAGCTCATGCTGGTCTTGGCAATGTTTGGAATGGTTCCACTTCATTTCTTAAAAGCACAAAGAGGATAATCCTTGGTGTCATCCCACTCCCAGTGCCAGAGCACCCACACCTGCTGGTTAGCCAAGACCCTGCTGGGCCAGCCCAGAAGTCCTACATGGGCACAACAGAAAAGGCTTGCAGGAACCACTTATATCTTCAAACACTGGGCATGGAGCTTAGGAGGCGTCTTGTAATTTTTCTTACAATGGGGATTTCTTTTATTCATGTCTGAGCAGTAAACTTTCTATCAGACTCCAGCTTGGGTCAATGTGCCTGACCTTTCATTATAAATTTAAAATGTTGGTTCTTCAATACTTTCACAACCTCCACCCTCAGCTGATCACATTTGGAGAGAGACAATAACTGGACTTCACTTTAAGTGGATATCGTAGAAGGTGCTCATTAAAAAGAACATTTAACGTGTGGGAATGAAAGAAAGCATGGATGTGTTAAAACACACACATTTGAGTGAAGCTGGTGTTTAAAAATATTCTTTTTGTCTCTACAGATCACCATCTTACTTAGATGGGTTTTTCTTCTGTCCCCTGAATACATGTGATTGTCAGGACTACCGGGGGTTTGCATTTCATTCTGCTTCAACAAAAGCCCTGTGCTTCAGCCTCCTCTTCTCCCCCCTGTATTATAGGTGAGATTGTTTCTGTAGAGACCAGTTTGTCATTTTTGCTCAAACGTATCCCATTTACATACCTCATAAGGCATTAGAAAAACGCACCCCTGGAACCACACACGCACATATACATGCGTATAAAGCTGTCACATCGTGCCTGCAATAACATAACAACGTACAGCAGATAGATTACTCTTGTCCCACAGTTTGTTTTTGTGATTAGCAGGCATGACGCAGACCCAACAGACATTAACATGTCCGGGAAGCACTCACAATAAATTGCCAGAGCTACTAATAATTTAGATATTTTTATGACTGTTCAGTGCTGGCTAATTTCGTCTAATAAAATCCCATTAAGTTGCTGCCTAGTCCTTTTCTTTCCTCCAAGTCCCCGAACGGGACTTATATGCTAATTGCAACCAGTATATGCTAATTAGACCTCATTTCCATTTCTTAAAGAGATAAGCACTGCCTTGTGCCAACCCATCATTAACACCTCCCACCTTTGCCGCAACCTTTCCGTCTGGCTCCGGCAGAGGAGCGATAAAGCATCGCTCTGGGCTCCGCGCAGCGCCGGGGGTCCCCGGCGAGGGGGCCCGGGGATGCTCCGCTCCGCTCAGCGCGGGGAAGGCAGGGAGAGCTGCCCGCCGAGCTCTCCTGCCCTCGCAGCCCTTTAGGGGAATTCTCAGCAGTCCAGGTCCATGAGGGAAAAGGAGGCGAGCCCGGGCTGCCGGCGGGTTTGGGTGCTGCGGCTCCCCGGAGGAGAAGCGGCCCCCGCTGTTCCCGGCAGCTCTCTCCATCGCGCCCAGCCCACGCGGGCTCATTAGAGCTTCGGGGAAGCAATCAAGAGTTTATCATGCTTGAAGGGGCGGCGAGTCTCCTTGCGCTGCCTAATGTGATTTCTCGGCGCTGCAGTGTAGTCGGAATTAGATCCACATTAAGGGTGGGTTAGAGGCGAGCCCCGCTCTGCGTCCTGAAACCACAAGGTGCCTTTCCAGCTGCGGGCTGCTGCCCGACGCTTTGCTCTGGGGAGGGTGACCTTCAAACCCCCCGGCAAGATTCGTCAGGAGTTCTCAGGCTGAATACAAGAGAATCCGAGCAAATTCTAGGCTGAGTGTTTAGGCCGGCAGCCTTGCCCCGTGGTTACGGGATCAGGGTCTGAGCGTGTCAGCACTGGGGTAATTTCTTGGCCCACCAGGCAAGAATTGAGTCCGGGGGAGTGAGGAGGGAGAGTCCCGGGTTCCACGGTGTAAAACCAGAGCAGGGCCACCAGCACGGCACAGCTCAGCTGTGAGTTTAGGCGGGTCGCTTATCAGCACATACTTTTCCCTAGAAAAAGCATTTCTTGAAATTACTTAGAAATGCCATTTCCCTTCTGCCTTTTTCCAGAAAGCAAATTGCAACGTTTTACTGTCTGAGAAAGACAATTGCAAAGTCAAAGGATCTGGGAATATTAGCGATGCCATTGTTTGAAAAAGAAGCAGCCTTGAACCATCATTTGCAAATATATTCATTATTCTGAAATGCTAAATGCAGTAAGAGCAGGTTTAGCATCTGTCTGCTAACTAGCTCCCTGATTATTACCCAGCAGAAGAAGAACACAGGCAGACAGAGCTTTACTCCAGGAAGCCCAGACACTGTAGATGGGAAATATTCCCAAAACATGCTAGACCCCCCTGAGCCCCCACCCCAGGCAGGGGGGTCACATCTTTGCTTTGTGCCGTGCTTGACAAATGAGGGTAGCGTGGCTCCTCATTTTCCTGGGTGCAATGACTCCCTGCTGCTGTCTCCAGGAGCTCTGCGATGTTACGCCAGGGATGAATTCGCCCACGTCTGCCTCAAACTAATGCATTTCCCCCCATAACCAAAATCATCATCCGCCTGATTTCCCCTCCACCTCTCTCATCTCGCCCCTCTGAACACACAGAGCACACTCCCACCCGTGTCAGCCCCTCGCTGGGGTCACACACGGCGGAGCACGCTGCCCGAGCTCTGGCCGGGACAAAGGGCAGCACCCCTGGGTGGCCAGGGTGACCTGCCGGAGGTGACACTGAGCCCCAGGGTGGGGAGCAGGGCAGTGGCCGCTCCCCGGGCCCCGGCAGCACCAGCACAGAGATGCTGGTGTAAGATGGAAGTAGAGGGAAAGGGCATGTGAGGCAAAAATCCATCAGTATGTAGAAACCATCGCAAAGGCTACTTTCTTTCGGTAAAATTAAAAGGACTGGAGGGGTGCTCCCGTGGAGCTGATCTTTTTATTGCTTGCACATCTCTCTTTATACCTCTCCCTTCTGCTATTACTGATTATTTAACTCTGTAGCTGCACTTTAACTTTAGAAAGAGCTCCAGGATACAGTTGGTTTGAAGGAGGCCGTACAAAATAAAATTTTATATTTTATTGCATTGTATTGTTCAGCATTTTAAAGAGGTAAATTAATCACTAAACTGCTGTTCTGTGCTTTAAACTACCAGCTGTTCAGTGCTCTGAATTACAAGATTTATCCTTCAGGATTTTTTAAAATATTTTTTTTTTCCACCTTTCATATAAAGACTTTATAGGGAAATAAGAATATGCTGGGGTGCGGAGGAGGGGATTAAGAGACAAAGAATCACACCGTGCTTTGGTCTTCATCCCACATCAGATGACTTGGTGACAGCCCTTCCTTCCTCTGTGGGCTTTACAGCTTAATTACCTGGATTGTGGGCTTTCCCATTTCCACTCCTTCCAATCACCCTCAGACTTTATTAGTATTTAGAGCATCTTGCTTAGTCTATTGGGTTTTCTCTTCACCTTGGCAGCTGTAGTGTTAAACACACACAAAAGGCCTTCAGTAAGCCCTCATCACTGTGATCTGTGCTTAAATCAAACAGCACAAAGTCTGACCACAGCAGGGACCTTTTTTCATTACAGGTAGAAGTGAGGCAATAAAAAGGAATGCGGGGGAGGGGAGGATGTGTGTGTGTGTTTGCAAACCCCTCCAAGAAGTCCACAGGCCCCCTCCCTCTAGGAGAGTGTGCAGGGCTGATGAACGGGGGAAAGGGCGGATGATGAGTAGTTGTTCTGTGCCTTCAAATTCCCATCTTCTCCTTTAGTTTTTCTGAATCACTTCTCTGCATTTTTCTCTGCATTGAAGCACTGGGTTAAGCAGCACGAGCCATCTGACCCCTTCCCTTTCTTTACACCTGGCTGGAGGCAGCTGACCCGCAGCTTCTGCTCAAAGCATCCTCACCCTGCCCAGGGACAGAGGAGCTCAGGGTTTCTGCTGGGAAACATTGCTGATGCCAGCCCATCCAAATGGGGTGTCAAGGCCTGAGCTACAGCACACACTGTGGCTGGGCTCTCCCTTCTCCACACAGAGGACAGGATAAACGAACCCAGAATCCTCTTTGCAACCCCAGCATTGCTTCTTCAGCCAGTCTGCCTCCACCAGGTTCTCTTATTTCTTTCTGTGTTATACTGGAGAGAACAACTTCAGCAGGGCTGTGGGGCATGAGAAGTGCAAGGTCAGGATGGAAAGTCTCTGTGCAAGTTCTAGAGCAAGGCTGAACATTTGGCTACACAGCAGAGATAGCCACATGCACAGTCACAGCTTGCATCCTACATGGCAGGTGAGAATGGAATGCCTGCAACATGTTTGGTAGCCACAGGAGTAAACACAGGAGATGTAAGTCTCTTGGTAGCACAATGAAACAGGCTTTCTGAGCATGTCTGGCAGTCAGTCTAGGTTGATCTCTCAGACATTGCTTTCAGACACCAGTGAAAACTCTCAGCCACTACCTTTTGAATCTCATCTTACCCAGAGCTGCTGTCTTCCTTCCCATCCAGCCAGGGAGGTGGTGACTGCTTGAGTCCAGAGCCTGAGTGACCCTTGCTGAGCATCCTGAGGGCAGCAACACCTCCTAACACCATTCCTCAAAGCATCTTGGGGCCAACACTAGGGATGCTCTCTGCTTTTGTGGCATCTGCCCAAACATCCTTCTTCAAACACATGGGGAAGGCCAGGTTGGGTGGGGGCCTGAGCAGCTTGATGTGTGTACAGCATCCCTGCCCATGGAGAGTGGGAATGGGGCTGGAACTAGATAATCTTTAAGGTCTCTTCCAACCCAAGCCATTCTATGAGTCTGTGATTCTATGATTCCGTGACACACATCACCAGAAACCTTCACATGCTATTTTCTTCATGCCTGAATAATTCTAGTCATCTTCTCAACTTTTTATGTAGTTGGATCCAAACCTGCCATTTCTCCCCTTTTTGTTGCACTAAAAGGGCTCACAGGCTTCACTCTGGAGTGGCACTTGACCATGCAGCTATGTCAGTGCTATTAATTTCATTAAAACACTAATTGAGAATGAGAGCACAGTTTGTCACAAGCAGTGTGATGGGTCAGCAGACATGCACAAATGATGGATCCAACAAAATGACCATGGGCCCAGCCAAAGGAATGCTGAAGGAAATACACCTTTCTCCAGGAAACTTGTTCTCTCTGTTCTCATCACTACATGCCCAGTCATTTTCAGGTTAAAAAGAGGAGAATTGGTGCAAATCATTATGTCACATCTACCTAAAACCAAAGCAGAAAGAGAAGACATAATTAAATCTAATCTATTCAGGAAGAATTCTATTTCCTTTAGACCGGAGGATCACACAGCCTGCTTTTTTCTTGGGCAAACCCAGATCACCCCAGAGAAAATCCTTGTCATGTTAATTTGCCTTGGGCATTAATCAAGGCTAAAAAAGCCATTTCTTTTCCAAGGGCATTACAGACAGAAGCTGTAGCCCCTTGGCCCCAGGTTAACTCACTTACTACAACCTGAGCTAAAATGGGTGTTGAGGAAAGGGAGGAAGTATTGCAATGGCTCATGTTTCTCCAGTCCTCTGATTGGAGGGAATTGAGCACGGCACCTGTGCCTACTTCATTCCCTAAAATACCCCCAAACACCTGGGCACTCTCTATCACAAACCCCATGAGGGGCACAGACCCAAGCTGGCAGACTCCAGTTAAACACACAGTAAGAACTTGCCTCCTTCCCTTGAAATCTTATTCAAGGGGAAGTGCACAAAACACTAACACAGGAAAAAGGAGAAAGAGGTGTTGACATGACAAATGATGAACCCAACATCATGGGTGTGAGCTTAGAGAGGTGAAGCCACCATTCCCAAAATGCTGGAAAAGTATTCATTGGGTGGTGTGAAGCAGGGAGACAGGAGCATCTCCTGGTGAGAGATAAAGAAAGAGGTGTGGGGATAGGCAAGAGCAGAGCTTTGAGCTTGACTGGAAAGAGAAATTCCAGAGATTCATGAGGACAAGTCTGTCCTGAACTGTGTCTGTAATGCAAGTCAGTGGGTTACTTGGTCACTTCAAAGCCATTGCAGAAAAGCTTGCCTTCATCGTGGCATGCTCTGAATTTTAAGTGAGCCCCCTGAAAGTTATTTGAAGCTTCTCTAAAATGTTCAGATACAGAAAGCTTGGTGAGCTGAAGTGTGGAGATAATGCAGAAAGTTTTAAGATAACTTATTAATCTGCAAATGTCTATGCAATGAGCTTGTTATCACTATGCTTTTTAAGCCTTTGATAAGGTAAATCAAAATACATCTGTTCCAACAAAGTTTGCCACATTGATAAAAAAAGTCTCATGACATTTCAGTTTCCAAATCTTTTCCATTCACTCTGTTATTAGCAATTTTGGATCAGTTTCACAGCCCCTTGAAAACTTTACCTAAATTATTAACTTCAGTCAAAGAAATGAAGACAATCAGACCTTAAAGAAAATTAATGTCAGCTTCCCCAACATTTGAAAATAACACCCAAAGATATGTGTCCCAACATTCTTTGGTTCCTACAGAAATTTTACCTTGGAAAAAGCTGCTTTAAAAGAGCAGTGAACAGTTTTACTACATCCACACATGCCATATGAAGTTGATTGTGGCACTTTGTCTGGACTCAACAGGGCATTACATGAAATATCAAGACCCCAGTTCTCAATTCTTCATTATTTGCTTCTTGTACAGAAGATTACAAAGCTGCAAATCTCCCTGCGTCATGCTCTGCACCCTTTGTAGCTACTCTCCATAAGAATAAATCAGTTCTTCTTAAATTTCTGTGTGTGAGTGTTGTGCACGGTGCAGCAGCAGAGCCTGTCCTCTCTGGCTGATGGAGCAGGTTGGTGGGCTCAGAAGTGCTAAAATGCTCTGCAGTCAGGGCAGTCACTACTTCATGGAGCCCCTCAAAGCTCTGGACTGGGGTGCACCACGTGGTTTGGCTTCCCTAACCATGATGGGCAGAATTTGAGAGCCAGCAATAACCAGATTTTCCAAGGGACAAAGCACTGTAGATTTTCCACACAACAGCCTGGCAATGAAACAGCGAATCCACCTTGGACATGAAGATAAACTCTGTTTGGAGCATTTTCTGCCTGTTGTGTAGCTCATGTGAAGAAATGATGTGTAGCCAAAACCTGGCACCAGCCTTCCACTGGATATGTGTATTTGTAAAAATTGTGAAGAAGCCAAAAGAAAATACCAAAAACCTTCCAAAAGAACCTTACCCATGGTGATGTGGGTACAGAGATCTGAGAAGCTCTGCAGAGAAGCAAGCAGATCATGAGAATGAGTCAAAGCAAAGCTGGGGAAGAAATCCTTGGGTGAGCTGCACCAGTAAAGAAGAAAAGACTGGGGCTCAGCAGCAGCAAGGACAGTGTTCAGAGACACTCAAAAGTTACTGCTTTTCCTCTGCCTTACTAAGGAAAAATCTGGAAATAGAGCACTGGACGTCCATGATCCAGCCAAGTGCTGTGCTCCCTGTGGGGGTTGGATATTTCTGACTGAAGAAGCGGACCTGACTACCTCAGCTCGGGATATGGAGAACATATTGCACACACACATATAAGAGATTTACCATATCCATTCACAGACGGTTCTTCCCCACACAGATGGTGTTTATCACCTGAATTTGCTTCAGAATTTTTTCCTGGGGAATTATTGAGTAATCAACTTATCTCTCACATAATCCCTTCCTTATTATCTGAGGCAAAAGCTGCTGGATCTAATAGGAGACCTGCACACAAAGGGCAAATAATGTTCATTACAACTGAGCAGAAGTAATTCTTTCTTTAAATCTCAGATGCTGCACTCCACAATGGCATTTCTTTTTAATCTAACACCACACCAAAATCTGATCAGATAAAGAGAAGTGAAATTGGCCCGGTGTTGAATTTTAGAGACTTAAGAAACCACAACTCCCCTGATAAAACAGATTTCACAAGAAAGAAACCTCCATAGCTTTGCCCATCCCAGATCCCAAAATGAAAAACCTGAATATAATGAATATTCATGGTAGAGGAAGGAATAATATGGTCTTATTGAACGCACTCAGGGAACAGGTATAAAGGAAGAAAATAATAAAACAATATGAAGTCTGGATTATATTTAGTTGAAGTTTTACATGCAATTTATAATCAGATTGGATAGCTCTGGATGAGATGTGCTAACATGTGATAACATCATAATATGCTGCATGGGATATTTTTCTGAAGAGTTTTCTCAAGCCACGAGCAGTGAGGGAGCAAAGGGAAGCTCAGCATAGCTTATCCAGATCAACATCTCCCTTCAAGACTGACAATGAGATTTTTAACAAAACCATTAGTCATTTGATTGAAGGCAATTTGACCAAAATTGATTCCCCCTCATCCAAAGGAATTAATTTCAAACACTGCAGGGTGTTTTCATGTAACATGAAAGGGCTCTTTTTGTGCTGCATGAGATTCAGACCCCACAGATCTGCTGCTCCACAGCTCCCATCTGTGCACAGAAAATCCTTGACAGTTAGTTGTCCAGATATTTAATGTTTCAGATAAATAGTTTATTACAGGGCTCTGGCACCTTTTATATAACCATGTAGCAACAAACACATGCCAGCCAAGTTATTAATTACTCTGCTTTAAGGAAAACACAAGAAAAGGGCTGCTGAAGGAAAGAAATACATATGGGGTCATATTTATCTATATGTGATTCTAATTCCAGTGGTGCACTGCTTTCTTATTTGCTTGAAAAACTGGAGCATCCTTAAGACATTTAGTTGAAGAGAATTTCCTCTGGTTTGTACTGCTTTGACTGCAAGGAGGTGGTGGGTGGCCAAGGACAGCAGCAGTTGCCACAGGAACTGCCATAGAGAGAATCCAGTGTGTGGATCCTGGGACTGGCATCATTTAGGACATGGAACGACTGAGTTTGTTCTCAGAAGGCTGTGCTAAGATGCCCATTTCAGATCAGACTGGCTTTTAACTTGGTGGCTGGGGAAGGTGTGGAATTGAGTCACTGTGGAGAGCCCTGAGAGTGAAGGGTAGGCTACTGACCCAGCTAGCTATTGTACAGAAGGCATCTGTCCCTGCCAAATCTGAAAAGGAAAATAAGGTTTCCATTCCACTCTGTCTGGGTTCCACCTTCCAGATGTGCCATGACAATCCTCAGCAGCATGGATCTCTCTGGGGAAATAAGCCCTGAGCTCAGAGTTCCTGGGTTAAAGATGAGGCAGGTCTCACTGATCAGCTGTCTCAGGGCTGAGCTGTTCCTGAGCATAAACAGATGCACAGTTGGGGAAAGTTAAAGTAAAAAGTTCAGGAACGACAGGATGAGGGGGACCCTTCAGGAATGCAGATTTGCACTCAGGCACCTTTATTTCAGTTATAAGCCACATTATGTGCACAGGTCCTTTTTGGGATCTGCCCTCCATAGCTACTTAGTTTCTGTCACCTTCTTGGGCTCTTTCACATTCTAGTTTCACAGAGGACAAAGGGCTTCAAGAGCATTTCTGATAAAGCCTGCATAAAGATTTAATTGCCTTTTGAGATTACTTCCAATCTTTTCTTCTGTCCTCATTACAGAATTTTAAATAATACAGACAATTCTCTCCCCCATCAAGAAATTACCAACATGGAGAGTTCGTTGTCACTGGCCATTCTTGAGATTAAAGAAATGGAAGGAATGACCAAAAAATCTTGTACTGTTTGGTAAAAAAAGATTAGTAGCATACAAGATCATTATTTATTTATTTATTTATTTATTATTGTTATTTAACCTTTCATTTTAGGATATAAGTGAACAATTAACTGCTTTTCACTAGGAAGAAATATCTGCTAACAGTTTTAGAATGGAGGACACCTCTTGTTAGTCCTTTGGAGCTATATATGTTTACTGGATCTATAGCTAACCTGGATAAGCAGAAAGGCAAGATGCATCACTGCACCACCATGGCAGAAAACAAAAGTGGTTTGTAAGTAAAGTTTTCATCTTCTGTTTCCCTTTCAGTAATTTGCAAAGCAAAACTGATAACCTTTGGCTGACAATGTTGTTGCTGGGCTTCTAAGAGCTCACCCTCACAAGCAAGGGAATCCTTTCATTTTAAGCAATGGGCAAAAGGAGAAGGGCACGTCTAGAGGAGAATTAATTCAGGTTGTACAAACCCAGTCAAAGGGAACCCTTTGCAAGCTTTGAGGCCCAGGTAGCTTCATTAGCAATTCACAAACACGTGAAAGTGATGCAGACAGACAGACTTGGTAGGTAGTGTGAGCTGGTACAACCCTGGGAAAAAAAATCAGACTTTGATAAAAAGAAATATGAAGTATTTTATAGAATATGAAATCCCTTTTGAAGTTTTTTAGAATGACTGGGCCCTCACTGAATGCAAAAGAGAAATTTGATGTGCAGCATCAATTCATACCCAAAAAATATTTCAGAAAAGTGGCACAAAACATGAGAAGAAGCTGAAACATTTAACCTAAGGAACAGCCTTCTGTGTTATAAATTATGATTGAGAAGGACTTGGGAGCTAAGGTTGCCCACAGTAACTTGTCAGTTTAGGACTCAAGATCTTGAAGGGATTGCACCCACCTCAGGATGATTAATCTCTTTTTTTCTCCACTGAAAATAGTCCAGTGTAACCCTGCATTTTAAATTACATAAAACTGGTAACAGATCAGATAGATTTTTTTCTGCAACTTGTCAGAATGAAGTGTATATCTAAGCTCAGAAGAGAAGAAATGGGAAGAAGAAGGATGTGGTGAGCAAGGTCTATAAAGGTACTTTAATCCCTTGAGGAAAAACCCTATGGACTGTCATAGAAAATAAAAGCCAACAAATAGAAATCCAGCATCATTCCACAGAGTTTAAGAAAACCATATCCCTGCCCTTTAGAATTCACTGAACAGGACAACCTGGAGAAAATCACATTAGCCTTGAAAGAGCAACGATTCTTCATCTGAGGTATTTTTACTTGTGTAATATTTCAGTGTCTCACACTTGTAATTATCTGAACTTCATGTCTTTGAGGTACAGCAATCCTCTTACCTCCTTCCACAGATGAAAGAACTGAGAGATGGTGCAGGGCTCTGGCTTAGGAGCAGGAGGGATCAGCAGTAGCACAGCACCTGGACTTTCTACAGCTGCCCTCAGGGCTGCAGCTTCTCCCCTGCAAGAAAGGTTTGTCTGTTCATGGAGCAGCCACCAAATCTCTGCTGGACAACACAGGCCATGTAGCTCTGCAGCTGCTACAAACAACTGAGACTTCTCTGAACCCCTGTTCAGTGAGGAGAGGAATCAGCTAGGTGGGGAAGAGTGGCTAGGGATGCTCCCAGTCACTCCCTGAAGGACCCAGGGCAGGAAGGAAACAGGGTCTGGATTTTACCCAGCTATTTTCCTCACTGCTATAGCACCCTGTATCTCTTAAGATCACATTTTTATTTTAATCAAGCAGTGTTCATCTTTTCCACCTGTACCGTCACCCTTCATAATGACAGCTTCATGACTGGAGTCCTGATCACCCTAGAAAAAATAGTACTTACCTTTGTAGAGAAGAATGGTGCAAAACTGCTTATGTTGCTGGTGAAAACAATAAAATGACAAATAATAGAAGAATTAAATGATGATGTCTGTCCACATATTCCAGACACAAAACCAGTGGCCTTTCTAGTTTTACATTTCTTGTTTTTTTGATGAAAGTTTGCAGGACTTCATAAGAGATTAGAATAATAAGCCCTTGATACTTTTGAGATCAACTTCCTGTTGACAACTAGCCCTTAGCCAAGAAGGACAAGCTTCACTAGGAAAACAGTATACATTTAATCTCAAAGTTCCACATATGGACCACAGGGAAAAAAAACAAAACAAAACCATCCTCAGGTCTGCAATCTTATGCTTTCTACAATGTCCACGAGCTACAAACTGAGGCACAGCAAAAGGGGCTTGCTAGGAAAAGTTCTGCTACCCAGTACAGTGTAGGGAAAGTCAAATTATTCACCGCAGAGTAACACCTGGAGCAAAAGAATGCAGTTCTACTGGTCAGGTTTATGACTTGAGAGGAGCCAAGTCCCTCTTTCCCCACTGCTGTACCAAGCACTGCTGACAGTACGAGGCTGTCTCCCTGTGGTTTGGGTTCACATATGACTCTGACACTCAGTTACACATCCATCTGCATTTCACGAGGCCAAAGATCACACCACTAGCCAGCAGAACTCCAACCCCTATTGCACATACCTGTGATGTAACTAAAAGATTCTCAGTCAGGATGCCAGAGTCACATAAACATTGGCAGTGCTGCTGTTTTTGCAATCCACGGTGGCAGAAGGATTGCTGCTGGTTTACAACACACAGCCACTGACACGCTCCTCTTGGCTCCCTGCCAGTGTGCTGTCCTGAGATCCCCTCTCACAGTCAGGCTTTTTTGGACTTTGACACAAACAAACCGTGGTACAGACCTGTCCCCTGACAGTCCCCAGGTCCCTTGTTCCAGGTAATCACACTGTCACTGGTGGAAGGTGTGAGACTGAGGGTAGGATGTGAAGGAAGTCACATGAACCCTGAATCACACAGGATGAAGACAAAGGGGCAGGAGACAGGTCAGGTAAGAGAGATGCTTGTTGATAAGAAAAAAGTCTGTATTCCACCCTGTGTTTAGAAGTAATTGTACTTAAAATTTGGAGGCCAAATCCTTCCACTGAATGTGTATCTCTGAATAATTCTGAGCAGCTCAGAAAGGGAAGAGTTATCTTGACTCCAAGGTAATTAAAAACCCAACTTTTACAGCATCTGACTAATAGGATTGCAACCTTCCAGCAAGCCTGAAGGAGCTGTGGGCTTATCAGGAATGCCAGCTCTTATGTCATCATTAACTAATGACACCCACCTGGAGATGAAAGTAAAAATTTGCACATGTAATATCTGCTTCTTCTTGTGTTTCCCTAATAGACTTAGAAAACAGAAACTTGTAACAGGGCCCGACCCTGCATTCATAGAAAAATCCTATGAATGCCAGTGTGATTGAGGGCATACGAAGAACGCAAGCCTGGGAAACGTGTATGTGAGAATTTCACACTTTGAGTTCTAAAATCAAAAAGCTGCATTAAAGTATTACTCTGCTATAAGTGCAGGTGGTCCTGAAGGCTTTTAGAAATACCAACACACTTGGTCTCCAATCTCATGGTAATCACATTGTTGATTGTGTCTGTGGATGTGTTTAACCCTTAATATGGAGTTTTCAATGTAATATTTATCTTCTTCCTTTACCTCCCATGAAAACCTATGAATAGATAAACATTTTGAGAAAATGTATGTTGCAAATATTGTGCAAATAGCCATGCAGACAAGTTGGCAAAAGCATGCAGCCAAAAATGCACAGCACCTCCAGGACCTTGTGACAGTCAGGTGTAAATCCCTGCTGTTTCACTTCTGTGCAGGGAACAGCCAAGGTTTATACAAGAAGTTTTTTACAAATTTGGACTCCAGCCTGAAAACTTTGCAGAGCAATAATTGATAACTAAAAGAATCAGAGCCTTGAATTAAACATGAGTGTGTTTGAATTCTGCAATGGCATAGGCACCTTGTTTGACTGTGCAGGTGCATAAAGCTATGCAGCCAAAATAAGGGTGCTGCTACTTTCCTAATCCTTGCAGCTAATAATTTCTGTATAGCTAAGGCATGGCTGGAAATGCAGACTTCATGTAGCCAAAAAGCCAAGGAAAGGCTTGCTCAATTGTCCCTGAATTCTGAAGAAGTGTACTGAAGTTTTTCAGTAGCCCTTTGCTGTCAGATAAATCAGACAAATAATTTTCTGGTTAAATTAGAAAATGTGGTTCAACTACACCAGTTTTGTTACACAGGTAAAGAATTAGTTATTTTGCAGCACATGTGCATTAAGTGGGATTATTTGGAGAACTTCTGATTTATTTCAGAGGGAATTTTAAGGTAATTTTCTCCTGTGGGGAGACTTTGACCTGAACAATTTGTCTTCTTCTCCATGGCCAAACACTTCTCTCTAGCTACTTCCCTATTCGAATTCTCCTAAATTCTCTAGTCACTGGATGGCTTTATTTTTTTTTTTGTCTCCAAGATCAACAGGGAGGAAAATACCTCTCTCAGGCTTACTTATTTCTGCATCTGTCCTGCTCTTCATTGCTGGTAAAAAGAGATAAACATGAAACCATGTTCACCTATTTATTCCCTGGCAAAACGAGTCTGCAGTATTTCTGTCTCCTGAGTTGTCAGCCCTTCAGGGTGGGGATGGCTTTCATTTGTATTATCCAGCACTGAACTCCTTGTCAGGACACTGAGCAAAAGAATTAAACAACAGGGGCAAACATTCATTACATCTAAAGAGAGGACATTAATTTCCTACACTATTTTTGAGTGCTGCTTCCATGTAAAGAATGCAAGGCCAGGCTCTTGGCTGGAATTCAGTCCAAAAACATCCTGGTGATCTGCACCATCAGAGAATCTATCTGGAATTCTCAGTGCAGGAGTTGAGGGATCATTAATCTCCCTTTTTCCCTTTAAATTTCAAGAAAGAAAGTAAAGAAGAGTCTCCTGGGGTGACGCCTTGCACATCAACCCAGGTACATGAGATCTGTCCCACCTTTGCTGGATCCTTGTGCAGACCAGCTCTGGTGCCTACAAAAGTGTCCAGGAATCAGGACCAGCATTGAATCCAGGCTGGAGCTGCCTGAGGCAGGGCTGGACAGAGCCTGTCGTGCCTGGGGCAGGTGGTGGCAGCCCCAGGCCAGGGAAAATGGTAACACGACCTGGCCCAACCTGCTCGGAGTTAGGGGTTGCAGCCTCACCTCTGCTTCCCAGCCAGGAAGAGTGAGAAAAGCAAAGGCTTTCTTCACAGGATTTTTGGAAACTTTTCATGGAGAAATACTGGCATGCTCTTTAATCCTTTAATGAGAGATTAGATTTGGGCTGGGCTACAGCAGTCAGAATTCTGGGAGAGTTTTGCCGACCAGTGGGATTTAGACTGGTCAGTGGGATTTAGAAGATATGCTGGCAAAGAAAAACATTCTCATTCATCACATTCCCTTGTGCAATTCCATACACTCAGAGACAGGAGCAGACTGTTTTTCCACTGTGAAACCTGACTGGACCTTCCTGAGATTGTAGGCAAGGTCTGAGTGTAGCTGGATACTCTCAAATTCTGGTGAAATCAGTGTGAGGGCTGGGGCTGCCATACTGTTTTGATGTAGGAACAGCAGGAAACCGTCTGAGAGAAATTTTTTTTTTTTAAAAAAAAGGTTTATTTTCAGGGGTACAGTTCAGAGATAAAAATGGAGCCCTGTGTTGGTCAGTCAGTTCTCCCGCATAGCTGACTGTCTGCAGCTCGTGTAAGGTGTGTGTGATGGTGGGAAGCAAGAGGAGGAAGCTGGGGTTGGCCAGGCTGCAGTTAGGATTGGTGTTGCACAGCAATGCCCATAAGAAATAACATAACAACATTTATTATGTACTGCACAAGGGGTGGGAGCAGTCAGGTAAGGTGAATGCGTGAAAAATCAGGCTCGTTTGAACTTTGGTTCCTCTCAGTGTTTTCTTGGTTTATGCCAGGGTAAAACCACTACAGAAATCTCTTAATAAACACATCAGTGAAAGAGGGGTCAGTCTTCTCATCCTTCACATACTCTTCCAGCCCATGGTCACACTGGCCCTTTCAGTGTGTGATAGACAGTGACCCTGCAAGCATTTGGGGATAGTTAGATGCCTTCACTTACCTTTTGACTAAGCCAAGAGGTATCCCCACATCACAGATTTGTTTTCATCACAAAAACACAAGGAAATGAGCAGTCATAACTCAATTATGCTCCAGAGTGAACTCAAGGCACTGCAGTGAACTCAGAGGAGGTAATTCAAAGGGAAATGGGGAAACTGCCAGAGATTTGGCAGAGATAAACTTAAACAAAAGAATATGATAAACAAAAGAATATATTCTTTTAGACTTAACTGAAATGAATTTGCTTCTCAAAGCTGAGTTCCTAGGCTCAGTTCCTGCTCCCCATCACCGTATGAAAAGGCAGCACTGAGAGATGAGCTTCCAGCAGCTGCAGTTCAAGGTGTGTTTATTTGGTGGCAGTACTGGATTAGCAGATTTAGTCTTCTCACCACTGATTCCTCCCTCACACCACTCATCTGCTGTGCTGGGACAAATGTTTGCACCTCTGTAGAGAAAGTGGATCAGGGAACTGATGTGGTTGAAAAACAGGACTGGGGAGGGAACCCCTGGGGTCTTCAGGTGCACCTGCAGAAAGCTTAACACACGTGTGAAACCTGATAGACACTCCTGCTCACAGCTTTGCACTGCCCAAATGGATGTGCAAACTTCCATCAGACACCGGTGGGGCTACAGGGGCCCCTCTGGCACCTCTTTTGAATCCAAACTGACACTGGAAGAACTGGGGTAATACAAATATACCCTGAGCACTTTATCATTCCAGGCTGGAAATGACCTCTGCTGCCTGGCCTCAGAAGTAGAGCAGCAGGGCACCAGGTTTGTCACCAAAAAGGGTCAATCAAACAACACAGATTAAAGCAGAACAAAGCAGTTCCTTTCAAGTGAAGGCTTCCTCCCACAAGATCTTTCCCCTTTTCTCTAAATTATGCATGCAGATCACCATGCAGAAAAGCACCTAACAGCTTTTCTCTGTGCTGAAAATGCAGCTTTTGAGCAGCTGAAAATCCACAAGTAACCTGAAAAAAAGAAGTATTTCTCTTTCCCAAGCCAGGAGAAGGGACAACCCGTGACTGATGCTTATGCAAGCACCTGTTGGGCTACAGAACCCCAGAGCTGCCGTAGCCAGAGGACTGGAAAAGCTTCCTTTGCCTTCTCAGGGCCTGTGCTGGCTGTGAGCACAATGTGAGAATGAGAAAGGTGGTGTGTTTCTGAAGGGATTTATTTTGGCCCATCCTGCCCAGCTTTTCCTTGCTGTCAGCAGGAAGCCAGGATTACAGCTGATCCCCACTGCTGGCTGGGCTGAGGTGGATGAGAGAGCCCCGAGGCTATGAGGGGAGAAGGCTGCTCTACATCTCCTGCGTATTACCCTCATCCCTAGTAAAGGGCATGGACAAATTAGCCAACTTTAAGGGTTATTCTAATTTATAGCAGCGAAGAATGTGCCTCTGGGAGCCATTATACCAGGCAAGGGTAATTGGAGAGCTAACACCCTTTAGCTAGATGTCCTTCCCCGAACACTCTGTGCATGAAAACTGCTGAGAAGGAGCCAAGTGGCACCAGTTCAGATAAAATCCTTGTTGGGCACCGCAGTACTACAATCCTCAGCTAAAAGGTGCTGGCCCTGCCCCTTGCACGTCCAGTGTGGGTCTGTCAATCAGCTGAGCCTCTCCCCTGGCACAGAGTCCCTTCTCCTGGAGAACCAAGCTCCACACACAACCAGCCTGGCCCCTGCATTTCCCACAGCCCCTCCTGCTCCCTGTGCTCGCAGCTGCTGACTTCGGCTCTCCTGTTTCATCTCAAGCACCTCTTCTCCTGTTTTGCAATGGTCTCAGCCCCACGGAGGATAAACTGACCAGGGCACATCACCCCATCTACCCACTCCATTCCCAGGATGAATGCGCAGTAAAAGTGTGCAGAAGGGATTATACAGCACATGCAGAGCTCTTCCAGGACATTGTGGTGGAAGCTGATTGCTGTTTGAAAGGCAGATGCTTGCTCACTCAGCCACACCTTTGCTGCAGGTACTATTGCAACAACTGGCAGTTTTGGCTCTCCCTGTAAACCTGATGCCTGACTAAGTATGTGCCAGTATCTATGGTTTTAACCACATCCAGCTCAGTG